AAAAAATACGTATTGTAGTGACTTGCTTGAGCTTTTAAGTTTATCTATGCTTCCATTCATTGTCCATATTGTATCCGTGTGGAAACATCCTTCGGTGGAGTCGATAAATATGCAAGTCAGCGTGATTGTGCATCCAAATGATTACTCTGGGGGTGATGTTTCCTGTAATTGGTAATGATTGGTTAGGGGACAGGCCGGTCCATACACGACCCAAGCAGTCTTCGTTCGCCCATTGACATTCTCTGAATGTGATGGCAAACATCGTGTGTGCATCTGTTGGTAGGTTGGCAAAACAGAACATTCTCGATTATCCCGGGGTAATGGATGAGAGGGGGGGGGGGGTGCCCAGTTTGAACAAAAACAGACAAAGCAGGGCATGTGTATACTAAGACATGAAAACCTATTTATTGCTTTACCTGTGTAGAATCGGGGGGGGGGGGGGGGGGGGGGGGCGGGGGGGGGTAAAGACAGAGCATGAGGTGTCTTCTGTCTTTTAGTTATTTCGTTAGGAAATCAAGTTTACTCGTTACGTTTGCAGTTGCGCGGGCACCGAGTCATTGGCCCTCGACAAGTGATGGACCAGCGAAGTAGACTTGAGCGTGTGAATTTGTATTCATTTATTTATCTATCGCAAGCACAGTTAATCCACACAAAAAAATTATACGCCCATGGATAGTTGAGAGTTCACTGCATAAAGAAATATATTTTGTCGCCAGCCTATGAGATCCTGAGTCACCCGTGCATTATGCAACAACCACTGTCGTTCACCACTAAGTGGCGGTGACGTCACCACGTCGCTTGTGCCGTTCTAGGTGCACTTTGAGGCCACGTGAATGTGTCGAAGGCCTGGTGGCAGGAGGTCATACCCAGGTGTCCATGGGTTGACTGGGATAACTGGCAGATGCACCAACTGTGCTCCCCCCACTGTGCCAACTACATTATGCACACTACAGGCAACCAGCAGAGAATACATAAGCAGCATCGTGCCTCCACCTTGTGGATTATTGTGCTAAAGCAGAGCCACTAGTTTGTATCTGTTACAATCCTCTCGAAGGCCACTAGGAGGCAGTGTTAAACAAGCTGTGCCTATGACGCGCGCACAGCCGTTTTTTGAGTAGTGGCTCTAGTACAGATATCATCAGTCTGTAAGTTCGGTAGCCTCACTGTTTGCATAGGTGACTGCACGCTGACAGAGAAGGTTGATGCGTCTGTAGCGTTCTAGTGCCCCTTTTTTCACATGGCTGCCGTTGTGTAACATGCCAGCCTCGCTGAAAGAAAGGCCTCAAGCTAGTTGTAATTACTGGCAAAACGTCGTACTCAAGATTGTAAATGTTGTGGCTTGGCTCTCCAACATACCGGTGTGCTGTAATAGTGATGAATTGGCATGTTTTGTTTACATGACAACCCTTACGAGTTGTCTGTCGTGTGGTGGCAAGTTTTAACGACACATTTATAGATTAGAATAGGTGTTCCCCTTTATTCTGGCAACAAAACAGGTGTTAAGATTTCGATTTAAAGCTTTCGTGACTGCAGGGATTCATCTTCTGGGTTATTATTTTTATAATTTTATTCCCATTCTACGTGACTTTACCGAAAGAACCCAGAAGAAGTGTTAAGATTATGAGACCTCCTTTGCCAGTAACAAGATATAGTAATAGGTTTTACCCTTTTAACTGGCACAAAAACTGACACCTTTATTCAAGGCATCATGTTTGCAATAACCACAACACAAGCAGTCAAAATGCAAACAAAAGAGACAGCTCTGATAATAATATGCACTGTCCTTGAATTTGATTGGTCCACACCCGAGACAGCTTTTCTAGTCTCCACTGGTGTTAGAGCAGAAGATGCCAAAAGGCGTACAACTCAAAAACAGCGCACTGTCAGAGTATTGAGGGCTCGGGGTGAGCATTTACATTATGAGACCTCCTTTTTAACTGGGTAAAACCTATTACTATATCTTGTTACTGGCAAAGGAGGTCTCATAATGTAAATGCTCACCCCGAGCCCTCAATACTCTGATAGTGCGCTGTTTTTGAGTTGTACGGCTTTTGGCGTCTTCTGCTCCAACACCAGTGGAGACTAGGCTCTAAGAAAAGCTGTCTCGGGTGTGGACCAATCAAATTCAAGGACAGTGCATATTACTATCAGAGTTGTCTCTTTTGTTTGCATTTTGACTGCTAGTGTTGTGGTTATTGCAAACATGATGCCTTGAATAAAGGTGTCAGTTTTTGTGCCAGTTAAAAGGGTAAAACCTATTACTATAAGTGTTAAGATGTTAAAACACCAAACTGAAACCTTTTACAAGGAATCATCTCTGCATTAACCACAATACTTGTGGTCAGAATGCAAAAAAAACATACTCTGATAATATATGCATTGTCATTGAAACTGATTGGTCCACACCAGAGACGGCTTTTTTTGGGGCCTCGTCTCAAAAGGTGTGATATCATATTTTGGTACTGGTAAAGGAGGTCCCATGATGTAGCTGCTCACCCCGAGCTCTCATTACTCTGATAGTGGCATTGTCTTTGTGCTGTGTACGCCTTTTGGCGTCCTCTGGTCTAACACCTTTTGAGACAAGGCTCTAAATAAAGCTCTCTCTGGTGTGGACCAATCAGTTTGAAGAACAATGCATATATTATCAGCGTGTTTTTTGTTTGCATTTTGACCACAAGTATTGTGGTTAATGCAGACATGATTCCTTGTAAAAGGTTTCAGTTTGGTGTTTTAACATCTTAACACCTGTTCTATTGCCAGAATAAAGGGGAAAACCTATTCTCATATTTTGGTACTGGCAAAGGAGGTCCCATAACATTTATATATTTACGTGATCTAACCCAAAAAAACCTCTTTATGGATGATATTGGTCGCGAAGGCCTCCGTGTTAAACTGAAAAAAGGGCCTCGAAGGTAAAAACGCCACGGCGACGTTGCCGCTCAACTTGTGTGCTCGTTCTATTCCCCAACACCACCACCACCTTTTAACCTTTAACCCATGCCCAGAGCTTTTATGCACATTGTGTCAAAGAATAACACGTACTGCTTGCTACGATGCTGCGAGGTTCAACAATACTGTAACGTGCACTCTGGTTTTACACTGCACGTATACTCTAGTGCAGAGGTTTACAAAAACAAACATGCATCAAGTAAATAAATAATATTGGGACCTTGGCAAAGTGTTGGTAATATTATCTGCATGTGCCTGATTGTTGCGTGTGCATGCGTGGGAAGGCTTTGCTGTGGCTTAGGTAACCAGATTCCTGGTTGTTGTCCTGTTGCGATGTTTTTTTTAAATGAAAATATTGATGAAGATCGTGTATGAATGATGAAATACATCTTCAAAGAGTCAAATGCACCTATTACACAAGAGTGTGTGTGTGTGCTGTTGGCATTAGTTCACTTGGTGGCATTTAGTCAGCATTTATTTTCGTGTACTTTTCCACTTAACCATGGCATCAGACATACTAGTACCAGCCAACCATCAAGTGGATCCTTTTAGGGGCCATACATTTAGTCCATACGCAAAAATCTGTCAAAACTTGACCCCTCCCCCCCTGTACACACGCGTACTTTTTACACCCCCCCCTCCACCTGCGTACGTACGCTTGACGCCCCCCCCCCCCCCCGAAACCTATAGAACGGCCGATATTTAATCCACGCAAAAACGATCAAGGATCAATAATATCAACGTGTTTAAGCAAACAGATAGTCCACCGCTGGACTATCCAACTCATTTGAAGGTCAATGTAGACAAATTATATTATCGAGGCTTCACTCCCCCCCCCCCCCCCCCCCCCCGTTTCCTATGCGTACGTACATTGTCAGTAGACCCTCTATATGCATATGTATGCATTTGGGTTAACCCCCCCCCTCCCCCATCCATACGTACGTACTTTGGATGGCCCCTTCATGGTTAGGCAACTGGGAGGCTGGCTCTCAAGAATGCCTTCTTTATAAACCAGTCTTTCAAAAGGGCAAATTGTTATGTTGGAGCGATTCTTTACTTTTGAGCTGCAGATATCACTTAAGCTCCTGTTGAGCTTCCAAATCTGAAAAAATACCTTGCCATAATCCGACTTATGAAACTCTTGCACTGCTAGGTAGCAGTCACATGCCCGCTGTCCTTAGAGTAACTGCTTACAATCTCTTCGTTGTTTTGCTTTCTGCCACCTTTTCATCAGACCCGCAGTGCCCCCACGAATGGGGTCCGAGCGTCATTCGTCTCAACGTTAAAGTAGACAAAAGCCCGTGTGACAGGAGTGTTGTTTTGCACCGTTTATCTCGAGAGGCTTAATCGGTATGGTCGGTCTCTGGACGCGGAATGCAGATGGTCACTTCACCTTCAGTGAGCCTCATCAAAGTAGTTTTACCCCCCCCCCCCCGCTTCCCCGGGAGCTTCTGTACCTATAAATTGACAATAACCAAATTATAAAGGAGGACAATAGCATCGACGTGTTTGCCGTTTTGTTTTTGAAGGTTTGCAGCATGTGCAGAAAACAAACACGATTGATCTTGGTAAAATTAAGGCACATGTTTTAACGCAGCAAGGCTGTCTATTGGTGAATCCGTTCTTTGTATGGGCAAATTTACTTTGAGCTTATAAATTGACCGGCGTGGTTTTTTTTACGTAATGGTGATTTTTCTAGGATGGAACACAATCCCAGCTGTAGGGAAGTGTGCGCACCTGCCAGTTGTGTGTGTGTGTGTGTTTATTAACTGGTGGATGAATGTCAAGCGGCTTCTTTATCACCAGAAACATTTCAAATTCTGACTTGCATGATTATCGGAGCAGATGTCAAAGCAGATGGAATGGTTTTAGTTGGCAGAAGAACTGGTTTTGCTGGTGGGATGCCAGAGTGTCTCTATTAAGGCATAAAGACTGATCGTTTGTTCTTTTTCACAAAGTCGTCGCCTTTTCATGAATAATGTTTGTATTTATGAACTGTAACGTGCATTCAAGTGTAATCATCGTTTCCCCGTGTTTCTGTTTGTTTACAGGGGTGTCATAGGAAAGCAAGGATATCAATGCCAAGGTATCTTATCTTCATGGGATTTAAACATTTGATGTTGCATTTTTCCATCGCTGTACCGTTTTTTAATTTCAATTATTAAACACGCACACTGTCTCAGGATACCCTGTACACAGAGGCTCACTTTTCAACTGCTTGTGGTTCTCCGGTTAAAATGTGATAACAGACGCACATCTTTCATTACATCAGTGGTGGTATGATGCTGATTTTCAAAATGTTTTGCTTCAGACATCCATGCATCCATAGATGCCTCGAGTGAATAATCACAACCAACTGATCACTCCGCTAAATGCTATTGCCCACTCTCCTTTCAAAATTAACAACTTTGCAAAGGGGATTTATATATATAAAACATTAATGTTAACTAAATGTATATTACTCATCTTTACACTGCTTTTGATTTTCAAATTTACAGTAAAATTATGGACAAACATCTTTCAATATATCAATAGTCGGGTGATTTGAGTTGTTTAAAATTGCTGCGTAAAAACACGTATGGCTTGTATGTGTTAGAGGCGATGTTTGATTTTTGTTTGCAGTCTGCACATGTGTCGTACACAAAAGATGCCATGAGCTTATTATCACCAAATGCCCTGGCATGAAGAAAGAAGCCCAAGATGAAGTAAGTTTACTCCATTCACCCAATGCATTCATACTAATTTTTCTGAATGTAGGAAGGGGTTACGTTGTAACTATGACTGGGACTTTTAAGAATGCTAAACTAAACTTTTTATTTTACCAGGTAAGGCCCGTTGAGCAATGTAGCTCTTTTAAAAAAGCGACCTGGTCACAAATAATAGCGGCTTATCACGTGGAAATGTATTGCAATCAATAACCCTTAAACGCATGTTTCTAAATGCACTTGTTAAAGCCAAAGCTTTCACACAACCGAAATTGATTTGTAATGATAATTAGGATGATGATCATCAGCCATTTTCAGCCTCGGGTGGATGAAGGCCTTCCTAAGCTGTTGCCATGCAACAATACATCCAGCGGTTGTTCACGAGCTTGTACCCTCCGATTAATACGGTTGACTTCCTACGGTGCTTAAGTTCAACGAGTTTAACACGTAGGACGCTTTCGCCACCAATATTTTCGGTTAGACTGCGTAAATATAAATGTGTCGTTAAACCCACCACCACCTGACACAGCCAATTAGTAAGGTTTGTCACGTAAACAAAACATGGCAATTTGTTACGAGTACAGCACACAACATTTACAATTCTAGTACAACGATCTAACTCCGTTGCTCCATCTCTAAGGTGCCTCAAGCTTTCATATATTCTCAAATCTCAGTATTATTTCAAGCATCCACGCTTCTTTGTCCGGAACATTATAATGAAAAGAAACATATAAGTGCGCCAAAATAAAATGTTTCTAATTGCTGCATATTGGCTGTTGCGGGTGGAGCGGAGACTGAGTTGTTCACGCACTGTGCTACGAACCCGGCAAGTTTGATTTACCCCTCCTCCCCCCTTCAGCAACCCACACTGACCAGTGTCAGTGGGGAAGTATGGTCAAACAACTCCCATGACTGACAGGGCATGCCTTCATACAGCAACGAATTGACAGAGCTGTATTACGCGTTGAGACGTACGAATCAAAAGCATGGACACCGACAGATTCAACGTTTTCACGTGCCAAATAATCACAGTCGACTCACTCTGCACTGTGCTCTGCGTGGCATCGCGTGGCGCACAGGTGGGAAGCCAGCGGTTCAGCGTGAACGTGCCGCACAAGTTCTCCATCCACAACTACAAGGTCCCCACGTTCTGCGATCACTGCGGCTCGCTGCTCTGGGGCCTCCTGAGGCAGGGACTGCAATGCAAAGGTTTGACCCCTACCTGTGCCTGTACACCGCGGTTGTGACCTTTATCTTGATGGTAGCAAAGTCTGAAGCGTGCTGCGACAACCTTGGCAAAACTAACCCTTGGTGCTTTGAACGGGTGACTTAAGCTATCGAGTGTGCAGGCTGAAATCTCTGCAATCTACCACTTATCCATACTCGGGGGCAGCACTTACTACATACCCACCGTGCTGCGGAGGGAAATGTCCATAATATCAGAATCAGAAAGGGTTTTATTCGCCATGAAAGTTCACACGGAGACGGAATTTACTTTGGCAGGGTGGTGCATACATTCAACATGGAAATCTGAAATGATCGTCAAAGCGATATTTTTAATTCCCAGAGATGACATTTTAGAAAAATTAAGTGTAAAACTGAATTTCACGTGATGGGTTTTTTGTGTGCAGTCATTGGTTATTGGGCTGAGACCATCAACTTGCCACTCACGAGAACCTGCTCTGATCATGCGCGGCTACTCGGATTTGCTGCCAGATTCTCAGAGATTCCAGCACAAAGAGCTCTGACATCTGAACCAACCGATCATATCATTTCCAGATGGTGTTAATTATACATTCTGGTTTATGCATTTTACACAAACCTCGTATGCGTGCGTGTGTGTGATATTTTCAAGGATAGGGTGGTCCATTTTTTGACAACCCTCAGATTTGTAATGCCTCTCTTAATTTATTGAAAACAGGTGATAGAATATTATGAAAGTGATGGTTATGTTTGGCAAAGCATACTAGGAGGGTATTTACATTTTTTTGCAATGTATCGATATAATTTTTTGTATGTGACGAGAGGTCAACTTGAACCTTGGCTGAAGCGTGCTGCAGCTGTTTGCGTTTTTTCTGGAGATTTTTGAATTGTAAAGTGTGGGTTCTCGTACTTTAAAGAGTTTTTTTATGAATTAGATGTTAGTGATTTTCATAGTTTAACTGCTGGTTGGTGATTATAAAAATGTTATTTGAATCATTTTTATTCAAGTGGCCTTGAATAAAAATGTTGCTTTCTTTGTAATTTATTTTATTTTATAAGAGTATTTAAACATGAATAACCCTGTATTTTCATACAATACGTATGCACACGCAGAGTGTCAAATTAACCCGTTCTGATAACGTACGTTCGTGTACGTCATCGGAACGGAATCAAAAGTTAAAGGCCATGCGGGAGGGCGTGTGGTGCAGTTTGGGGCCAGCTATCATGGAGTGCGGTCATATCGTTACATTTCTCTGCGGCGAGTACAATGCCTCTCTAAATAAAGTCAACGCTCATGTATTGCGCGTTACGAGAATTCAGCGTTGAAAGGGACACCCACACCCTGCACACGTCTTGGAACGGGAAATGGTTAATAAGCACGTGATTCTCTGCGGTGTTTTTAACGGGGTTTTTTTCCTCTTTTTCCAGTCTGCAAGATGAATGTGCATCGGCGGTGCGAGCAGAACGTGGCGCCCAGCTGTGGCGTGGATGCGAGAGGAATCGCCAAAGTGCTCGCTGAGATCGGGGTCACTCCCGACAAGATACACCAGTCCACCATTAAGAAGAAGAAGGTTAGCTGCCCGTGGCTTGCTTTTTACCTATAGCCTGCAATTTACCCAAGAAACAAAACAGCTCAAATCTCGATCTCGTTAGTGCAGGGATGGCGGAATCTCCGGTCGGCGAGCCACATGCGACCACCGACTGACCGTCTTCGTTTCATATAGCCCCACAGGCGATCGTTATCCATCGCTTCAGGCATCTTAGCTGCGTTAATCGTGCACCAGAAGTTAATATTTCCGAGCGGCCAATGCTGTGTGTTTATCATTTCAGTGCGCCATGTCGCCACTGTCACTGCAATCGCCTCGCCATACTCGGTGGACACGCGCGTTATTTTTCACGTTAATTTTAGATTATGCCAAGATGCGTGTTGGTGTGTACAAACGGAGAAAAACAAATAATAGAAAATGCGAATGGGATGGTAAAAATTCGACATTTCCATTCTTAAATTGACTCCTAACTCCGAATCCCAGCGATGTATCAAATAGCTGATAAGGTGGACTCGTTAAATTTGTGTCGACCAGGCACCTGTGTACAATATTTCAGCTATAGTTTTTTGTTATTGCATTTTCGTTTAATGAGCATGCTCGCAGTGGTGTTGCTATCGAGAGTGCAGGCGGTGCAACTGCACCAGGACCCACAGGCCAGAGGGGCCCAGGCACGAGGCTATGGAGAGGGATAAAATTGGACAGGGAGAACCATTTAATTCGTTGTACCAAGGCCCCATGCCACTGCATGCTAAGAACAGGAAAATATGTTTCAGATTACGGTACAGCTTATCCTACTCACTGGAGACTCAAGTATAGGTGGATTTGTGACGACACGGTCGGATATGTGATCATCTATAGGAGAGGACAGATAGATCAATTTACAATACAGCACTGGATCTGGGCAAATAATTGGTCAAGGTGGATATTTGGCGGTTAGTTATGTGATGTACTGCATCTTAATCTCAAAGCTTTTATTAGTTCCCTGTGTTATGTATGTGTGGGGAGCGGTAGTGTTGCGGTGAGCGTGCTGCACTATAATCCCGGCGACCTGAGTTCGATTCTCGCTCTCACAGCCAACACCGGTGACGATTATCTGAACCGGTCCTGGGCCTCCAAATGTGTACCTGGTACAGTGTTTAAAAACATCGCCACTGGGGAAACAAAGGTGGTACGGCCTGGTGCTGGCCACCCATCCCCTTTGTGTGCCGCGACGGCCTTCATAGGTACTCACAGCACTTGCCGCAACAGTCTGTCAAGGCTATACGGTGGATCTTTGTCTTTGTACATCTCGAGTGTGTGCTCAGCTCAGCTCATTGTGTTTCAGCTGATTACATCGTCGGACTCGCAGACGCCAAGCCCTGGGGTGGTGGCTGCTGACCCAGAGAAATCTCGGCCGATTCTGGCCTCCCCCAGTGAGGAAGGTGCGTTGTCCACTTAAGTCTTCCCCTTACCCACTACGCGCGTTCTGCTTTTTAACAGCGCAATTTCCCTACGAGCAGCTGTTCTGAACGCATTTCATCTAAGGTAGGAAACGTTAATGTATTAGCTCCGTACGTCTGTGGTGGAGGGTCACGGTAACTCTTTTAAAGATAATCAGATAGAGGACAAAATTGACAGCAAGGGCTTGCCTTAAATTTAGAGAGCTAAAAAAACCTAGCACTAAATGGATGAGCGTTTTCGCCCAAAGGTGATTTCAAACTTGATTCATGCACCTCTTCTTTCAGTGCATTAAATTTAATGCTTCCGACGACAACCTCACATTGGGAAAGGGTTACAAAATACATGCGTATGCATGATTTCCCTTTATAATTTTTTGTATGTGACGAGAGGTCAACTTGAACCTTGGCTGAAGCGTGCTGCAGCTGTTTGCGTTTTTTCTGGAGATTTTTGAATTGTAAAGTGTGGGTTCTCGTACTTTAAAGAGTTTTTTTTATGAATTAGATGTTAGTGATTTTCATAGTTTAACTGCTGGTTCATCTTCTTTGGTTCTTTCGGTAAAGTCACGTAGAATGAGAATAAAATAATAAATTGATAAAATAAAATAACACAATAATATTCTCACGACGTTTCGGCCACAACACAAGCGGCCTTCATCAGGTGAAGGGGGCGAGACTGTCTGGTAGGACAGCGCTGGAGTGAGAGAGCCACGTTCAGATCACGGCTTTTAAGCTGTGTGAGAGGAACAAAGAGCCTTGACAAAGGAATTAGCATAAAATTTAGCATTGAAATGGCTGAATGATTAGCTTGTGACTGGTCACAGAAATAGCTATGTTAAAAGTTAAAGCATACACATCCGCAGAGGCACCCATTGTCAAAAGGAATTAGCATAGAATTTAGCATTGAAATAGCTAAGTTAAGGCATACACATCCGCAGAGGCACCCCTTTCCATTGTCAAGGGGTGCCTCTGCGGATGTGTATGCCTTAACTTAGCTATTTCAATGCTAAATTCTATGCTAATTCCTTTTAACAATGGGTGCCTCTGCGGATGTGTATGCTTTAACTTTTAACATAGCTATTTCTGTGACCAGTCAAAAGCTAATCATTCAGCCATTTCAATGCTAAATTTTATGCTAATTCCTTTGTCAAGGCTCTTTGATCCTCTCACACAGCTTAAAAGCTGTGATCTGAACGTGGCTCTCTCACTCCAGCGCTGTCCTACCAGACAGTCTCGCCCCCTTCACCTGATGAAGGCCGCTTGTGTTGTGGCCGAAACGTCGTGAGAATATTATTGTGTTATTTTATTTTATCAATTTATTATTTTATTCTCATTCTACGTGACTTTACCGAAAGAACCAAAGAAGATGAATCATTGCAGTCACGAAAGCTTTCAATCGAAATTTAACTGCTGGTTGGTGATTTTTTAAAAAAATGTTATTTTAATCATCTTCCATATTTATCACACAACACACAACCCTCCACCCCCCACCGCTGTGCACACAAGACCCCTGGACTATCTCATCAAGCTTGAGAATTCTAACACGATTACTCATCATAATGTGAAGAGTACTTGCAAATATATGCAATGTAAAACATTTCTGAAAAAACTCAACCAATCCGCAACCTAACACCACAGGAGAATAATGATCAAATACACACACACACACATTTTGGTGATATGATCCTTATGGTGATACCCCGGGGTACCAAATAATACAAAATGGGCCGAGGCAATTAAATATTTTATTTCTCGGGACACAATTTTTTTCCAGGGGTGTACTTAACCCCGCGACTGGGGTACCAATCATTCCGACATCGGTGCTACTCCGCGATGTAGAAACGCAGCGAGGACGATGATTGCGCTGAAACCCTGAACGCTCGCTCGCACGCACCGTAGTGGTACATCGTGAGTACAGCTCGTCGAGATGAGTCCATTGCCGCATCGCCGACCATCAACGGACTAAAAATGACTGCATGGCGGACATCGTGCGAGAGCCGGGGTACTATGGGTACCCCGGGGTACTATGGGTACCCCGGGGTACTATGGGTACCCCGGGGTACTATGGGTACCCCGGGGTACCCATAGTACTATGGGTACCCCGGGGTACTATGGGTACCCCGGGGAACTATGGGTACCCCGGGGAACTATGGGTACCCCGGGGTACCGCCACAAGGTTCATATCGCAAATATGATCTGATATTTTTACGAAGGTTATTAAAAATAACTGTATTACAGCACTATGTAGATGCAATGTGTGATGCAAAGTAGTCGTTGTAAGGTACAGGTGCAGAGATTAATGTCATTGAGTACATTTAAATGTTTTTATCAGGTCGTGTTTTTTTTGTTGCAAAACACTGCAGGATGTGCTTAATCAGCACTTCGCATGCATTTGCAGAAGGCTGATTATTTCCCTATCTGATTGACATTTCACTTGGCATCATAAGTGAATGTCAAAATATGATATATGTCAAATGTTCATTTTATTTATTAAAATATTTCGCCTGGAAAATCCCTTGAGATGTCTCAAGTTTTAAAAGAAGTCTAGAAATATATACATTCTTTTTTATTGTATTATTCATGCTTTGGAGGCCCTTGGCGATAATTTTCAGTTTGTGGCAATGTTGCTCTGCGTCCACCCAATTAATTATTTAATTTGCAGGTAATTTTTCAGAATTGAATGTTTGGCCAATACCAGTTACGTTGTATTTTTTGTTTTTAAGTCTAATGTGGTAAGCAATGTTTCAGTGTGGGTCACAATTAGCATCCTATGTCATCAGGCTGCCTGGACAGAACTTATTAGTTTCTCCTGCACAGAAATACATATATCTTTGCTTGGAGATAATATTTGTATTTGCTTTTATCGTGCCTTCATCCACACATCCACAAATAATATAAAGGTCACATCAAACAGAAGCTTTTCGCCCCTTGTGCGGAAATGAAAATCACGGGCAAGTGTAGTTTCTGTTTTTTACAAAATCGCGTAATTAAAACCTATTTTATGCAACAAACAAGAATGTCGAGCAACAGTGGCACATAGTGGTGGTGCACGGGAAGCAATTAGCTTGAGACACATCAAGCAGAGATCCAGTACCAGCGCAAAATTTAGAATAATAACACGATTAATTCATTTTAAAACACAGAGACACGAAATATCTTGAAAGTAGTGTCAAGTCACAGCAGACCACGTTTAGGGTTTTTAAAATTCACTGGAAATGCTAAAGGCTCCAAACAGCCAAACTAAAGCAACTTGCCGAGCAAATTGAATCACTTGAAGTTGCATGCAAAGACATTGTTTATCATTTAAACCTTGCACCACACCTGACATTAGGACCCCAGAAAATCCAATTTGATGAGCCAGTTAGTCGACCTTCAGGGTGTTTTTCACTCCTGCCGTGTATGACATCACAATTCACATTTTAACGTGTGTTTTGCTTGACCTATTTGTGTGAGGATTATGGGCTTTGCTGTGTGCTACAAATTGTTCAGACTGTAATGCATGAATGTTTTATATTTTTGAGGATCTGGTTAAATGTAATCGCAGTCACAAATTCTCTGAACATTCTAAGTCGATGGAACAACAGGTCACTGTGAACCCAAGCGACCTGAGCTCGATTCCCAGCCACTGCTAACATCAGTGGCGAGTGCTGAACCGGTTTTGTGTCATCGCCCCCACCCCCCCACTAACTTGCACTGACAAGTGTGAAGTATGATCAAACAACCCCCATAGCCGGAGGGACTTCATCCACCAGTGGATCGACAAAGGACCGCAAATTATGAAATCATTGTTAACACAACTTCTGTTCTCTAATTGCGTTCGATGGTAACTCCGTACATGCAAGGGATGTGTTCCCAACTTTTATATTAATCCAAAAAATCCTAAAATCTGGTTCAGAAACAAAATTTAAGATTACCCAGCATCCCCCACACTGTGGTGTCCTTGACGTGAGCGTCCTGTGTGTAGTCACGTGACCACATTTTGCTGATGCGCAACGCGATTTTTGTTTAAAGTGTTGAAACGTATATTAAATGGTTCAGATAATAGTAATTGTTTATCGATTAAATGTGATGATAAAAATAACAATGCCATGATTAATTTGTAAAACTATTAACATGGTGTAGAGACAATGAAAGTTAGCAAGATTTAATACATTTAAAAATGAAAATTCATTTGAAACTGGGCCTATTTTTTACGACACCTTGAATATATATGAAATCTGAAATGTAACCCCGATAGATTTATATACATGCTCTCCAGAGGGGTGCCGTGGTGGGGATATGTTAACGGCCTCGCCTGGTATACAGGCGGTCGTGGGTTTTATCACGACTCTGACACCTGTATATTTGGAGTTTGCATGTTTTACCCATGGTGACGTGGATTTTTCTCCGGGTCGTCCGGTTTTTCCGTCCACATTTAGAATCAACGTCCGTTTAGAGTTTTTGGTTGCCATAAATTTCTACGCGACACACCACTTAGTTGAGCTATCATCTGTAGCTAGGTTGCTTCTGAAAAAGAGCTATGTAGCTCAGTGGGCCTTACTTGGTAAAAAAAAAATAGTTTAGTTTTGTGAACTTGTCACCTTGTGCTTCACAGCCTGCACTGGAGCGAAAGAGTTGGAGAGCGGAGTGAAGAAAGCCCTCTCGTTCGAGGCTCCCAGCGAAGGCAAAGCGGCAGAAAACGGTGAAGGGGCCCCTCCCACGACGAACCGCCTCTGCCGCCGCTACGGTCTCGACGACTTCTCCTTCATCAAAGTCCTCGGCAAGGGCAGCTTCGGAAAGGTGTGCGCGCCGGCGCGCCTTATCTTTGCGACGTCCGCCCATTTGAACCTCTCTCTGTGGCTTCGATGGTTGGTAGAGTTAATTCAAAACAGCCACGGGCCGAGGTGGCCAGGTGGCTCAGAGGTCAGTTTTGCCACCTCCAGGGATACAATAAAATTGGGATGTATCACGGGAAGAAGAACATCTCATCGTACAGGAAAAAGGGAGAACTGTACGTTAGATGCATCGTCCTGAGAGGTTTGTTGTTGCGCAACTGACAAAACCTGTTCCAGGAAAACTTACAGATTTCCCAGGACAAGCAGCTTCTTGATAAGAGGACAACACCAGGACAGGTGGCAACCCTAGTCCACAGCACTGAGCTGACATCCAGGCAAACTACCTGTGATTAAACCAGGTTCTCGAGTGGAGCCAGTTGATGATCTCAGTCCGGTCACTAATGCCTGCATATAAAACCTCCATTGCATTTGGTTCTGCATTTTAATTTGTCTAAATTTCAACTGCGAATATTTTAATGTATGGCAGAGTGTGTGGAAATATGTGTACCGGAGGTCACTTTAAGTAATTTTCAGACATACCTTAATGGTATCTGCTTCTCCGGACCCTTCTCTAACACGAAGGTTTACACTGTTTTGCAAGCGTTTTGATTGCATTATTTGTCTAGTGACATTACAGCGATAACACAATAGGGATTAAAAAAAAAAATTTAACCGCCGGCGGCGATTCCTGTTTCAAGAGGAAGCCAACTGGTTTATGTGAATACAAATGCATGTTACAGACTCCTTATGGAATGCTGATTAAATTAAGGGGAGTTGGGCAGGATGAGTCGTGGATTAGAGGGATAATAGCCTGGAGTAGAAACCAATAATGGATTTCCATCCAATGGAGGGAACAAAGATCCTCCATATAGACTGTAACAGACTGTTGGGGAAAATGCTGTTCGCGAGAACCCAGGAAGGCACACGACGGGGTGGGTGGCCAACACCATGCCTGGCCGTCTTTGTCTCACGAGTGACGATGTTTACACACATCGCACCTGCTACTAATTTGAGGCTGAGCTGACCGAGGGGAGGCCCAAGACCAGTTCAGATGATCGTCACTGCTATTGGCCGTAAGCAGGAATCGGAACTTGAGTCGCCGGGTTCGTAATGGAGGGAAGACATCATTAAGGACATGCACGGGGTAGATGGAGCAATGCGCTAGATGACTTGATATATTTTTGCAGACTGAGAGATGGCAAGAGCTTGGGAAGGTCTTCATTCAGCTGTGGATTGATCATGGCTGATTATAATTAGTGTTCCTCAAGTGAATTGTCACATTCACGATACGTTAATGAAATTGGTCGTGCAATAATTGCTTATTTAACATTTAAATTATGTCCAAATTACACGCCAAAAGAAATGTATGCTTAAATGAATCAACAACAAAAATTGGCAAAATCACGAACAAATGTGATTGAGGCTGTAAAAATGTGACAAAGCACAATATGTCATTGAATCTAGTTGTAACCTCAAGTTTTGAGAATGAAATTGTTGGGAATTAATATAGTCGCATGCTTCCTGATTATTGTACTTGATAATTTAGGTGTTTATCGTTAGCACCCTGAGAATTTTAAGAATTACTTGTGAACAGTGTGCATTGAGAAATGGGCATGTGGCAAATCTTCGCCGGTTTAATAACACGAGACAGATTGAGACCGTAATTTTAATGAGTTCCCCTGTAATCTGGATTTCTGCTAATCCGGATCACCTCTGCTCCCCATTAATCCAGGTTTACGTCCGAGGTGTTATTGTGTGTTCGTCTCTATGTGGGTGATCATCGTTATAATATTTCACATGTTGCTTGAAGAAAGGTCTACCACTTCTGTCCCCAAAGTATCTCTAACCTCATGGTATATTGAAGAAGAGACTATTAAGCCAGGATTGAGGTTTAATAATCAATCCAAGTTTAATGGTAACTGTGACATGGAGCTTTGCACGTAAATGTCATGGGTCTTTTTACTTCCACGCAATTTAGCAGACCGTGCATTTGTTACGTGACCGTTTGGAATTGGAACTGTTAAAACCTGAACCCACACCATCCTAACATCTGACTCACAGAGCAGTGCATTTTATATCATCATTATTTATGCTTTCGAATATTTTTATGTCTGATTGGTAAATTTTACATTTATGGATATATGTTTTCCCCCGGATAGGCTTATGGGGTTCAAAAGGTAATGAAAAAGCAGGATGCTCTATTTCCATGTTATTTAATCTGGCTCTTATATAAGGCCATTTCTCATGCCACACACAGGCAGGTTTATGCACTACAGTTTACATAAACTCCAAGTGACATTAAGAGTAATGACCTCCCAGCATGACAAATTACTTTCCAAACACAAACAAATCCTCGCTGTTCTTTCCACTTTGCCGCACTATTCCATTGCTACTGTTTGATATCAGATTGAAGCCTCTCTTTCCATTTCGCTCGCACAGCGGTCGGTGGCGGGGACACTCTCCCGCCAGCGTGCTTCACGTGCCTAGGCCCACTGCCAGTCGGTGCCCTCGACAATTAGTGACCATTGGGTTGCTTTCCCGAGCTAAGAATCTAAAGTGTTGTTTCCAATTTTTCTTGGAATTACTCACCGTGCCTTGATTCCGCTGCACGTATGGCCTCTCGGATGGCCGGCATTTTAATTGATGGTTATCGTTCCGTGAACGATCTTTTAAGGTGCTCTTGTTTGTTAATTGTCGGGCTTGTTTATGAAAATAACTTTATTTTGCCCTATTTTTTGCTTCTCCTCTCTGATTTTTGATAACAAACTGCAAAATGTGTATGTCGACTAATGTCTGAAGAATAAATATTTGGTAACCATTAATTTAAAAAGAAATAAATAAATAGTGTGTTTCGGTGTAAATGTTTTGCAGTTCAGTGAAAGGATGCAAAACAAGTATTAACGTGGATTTAGAGAGGCTTAAACTATATTGTGGAAAATAGAAATTGCAGCAAAAACACCAATTAAGCTGATTAAAGATCACGCTTAACATTCCTAAGTGAAATGTTCCTTTTTTTCTGAAAATATATTGCCGATGTTTTTGCCAATGTTCATGCAGTAGACATCTGAAAATACACTCCATAGCAGCTAAACGCAATTACTAAGACAATTATTAGTAACATAATTGAATGCACACAAAAAACAGCAAAAGGCGCTATTTTGACAACTGGCTCGGTCTTCCCATCCTGCCTTGCATGTCACATGACAACCATACATGATGCAAATAGCCTCTTGTTTGTCTCATTGCCCTACTGCCGTGTTAACATAATATAGCTCCAGTTTTGACTCTCTTGAGGTGGTGGAGAGGAAGGAGATGATGATGATGATGGCGGTGGCTATGTTGCACTCCCAGGTGATGCTGGGAGAACTCAAGGGCACGGACGAGGTTTTTGCCGTCAAGGTCCTGAAGAAGGACTCGATAATCCAGGACGACGACGTGGACTGCACCATCACCGAGAAGCGTATCCTGGCCCTGGCGCGCAAGCACCCCTACCTCACCCAGCTCTTCTGCAGCTTTCAAACAAGGGTCAGCTCCAGCAAGAGCAGTCGTAGCCCATAGTACCTGCGGTTGCGCCATAACGCATTCACGTTCCAAAGGGTGCATTAACACTGAACGATGAGAATCCTAATGGTGCCCTCGTCTTCCTGTCAGCTTTAGGCATTCACAATGAAGCATGAGAATCTTAATTGGCTCTCTGAGCCATAAGAATCATAGCACTGCGATAGTCTGTCTTTGTGAGCCGCATTCATTAGCACTGATGCCGAAGAATTTCTAGGGATCTTTAGTCGCATGTAGTCAAATTGCTTTTTAAAACATATATTGGATAAACATCTAAATGTTTTGAAACTTGCGCAGGCTTCTTTTCCTGAGGCAAATAAGCAGCAATGTCAGTATTCATGGCATTATATGAACTGTAGCATAACGCGTTGTTTATGTGCGTGCTTAGCGTGTCACTTAATTGTTTGTATTTAGAAATGCTAATTGGCCAATAGGATGGCTGTGTGTGAGAAAAAGCAACATGGCCAACTTGTATTTTCATCAATGCAACTTTCATGGAAATACATTCCCACTCTTCAAATATGGGTGTGGAATAATTAATGTTAGAGTAAACTATTTAACATTTTATATAACAGATTAGTTCCTACATATCTTGTGGCCACTTTAGATGTTATATTCCATTATGTGAAAATAAGATCCTTGAATTAAATTGTGACTCAGATTTCTGATAATTAATTTAATCATGTAACAATCATTATAAGCCCCTTAAGCAGATATGTTTCAATAAAAGAAGCAAGGCATTTTTTTCTAACGCTTCCGCTATTACTCGTAAACATCTCTAACATTCATGATAAGAACAACACCAAGCCTTTTAGTGCTGATGTAGACTTTAGACTCCGTGTCCCGTATATATCTTACCGTCTGCACGAGCACTCCACCGTTTATGCCACGCGCAGAGGGAAAAACGAAAACCGCGTTAGCAAGCCCATTAAAATCGTCGCCAGGAATGCAGCAAGTTTTAACGGCACAACGACTCCCCCGCAGGACCGGCTGTTCTTTGTCATGGAGTACGTCAACGGAGGGGACCTCATGTTCCAGATCCAGCGCTCCAGGAAGTTTGACGAGCCGCGCTCGCGTTTCTACGGGGCTGAGGTTACGTCGGCGCTCATGTTCCTCCACCGCCACGGCGTCATCTACAGGTACTTGTGCTCGCATTTTCGCCACCGCCGGCCGATTACGTGGCAAATTCCGCGCGGCTATGGGCCTGTACGATTTGGGCGGTTTCAGAAATGTTTTTCGTTGCTGCACCAGAGGCCCCTTTTTGAAGCGAAAAATGCAGTAGTAATTTAGAGCAGAATTTGGATTTTGTGCAGCGGGTGCTGAATGCGTCCGACGTTCAAGATGCTGTACAAAAACAATGGGCATATGTATTTTATGAGAGGCTGGTCAGTCACATGGCATGGAAAAAAATGTGAGTCTTGAGCCCGGATTTGAGCAGGGGCAAAGAGTTGACAGAACGGATAGCTGGGGGGGGGGGGGGGGGGGGGGGGTGGGGGCGGGACATTTCAGGCAATACAGGCAGCAGAGGAGAATGCGCGACCTTCCACTGAGTAAAAGTTGCTTCGGAGCTTGAATAGAAAATTTTAGTGGCTCGAATGGTGAGTGAATAGACAGGAGTAGGTTGTGATGAGAAGAGAGGAAACTTAGGCAGGGACAAATCCATGGAAGATTATGAAAATGGTGAGTGTGATCTTGAATATGACACTGAATTGAAATGACCCTGGGATAGAAGAAAAAGGATTTTTAGCGCATTGCACAAACTGCTACACCAAGGTTCCACCCCACAATCTAGCTATATATTGGTGCAATTTAAGACCTCTTTGGCTCTTGTGTTGTGTCATCCTTTAAGAAATGTAAGGCAAGCACTTGTGGAATAATTTCGCTCTGCTCAGCCTGCTAATGTAGCATTATGCAACATTAATTGGCCTGCGTCTGCACCTGCGGCACGAAAGGTATGTGACTCGTATTTTATTCTGTGCACTTATCTTAAATTACCGGTGCAGTTAAACCTCTGTCGGCCCCACACCTTTACTGGTTAGGACCCACCCCCTTACCACATAGGCCCTGCCTCTTCCTCTTTCGGCCCTGCTCCTTCCTCCAGACACAGGGTGGGGCTGGTTTAGCGAGTGATGTGGGTTGTGGAAGGGGCGGGAGTTGTGCACGTGCAGCAGTAGATAGTGGTGGTGGGCGTGGACAGTGGGTAGGGGTTTGGGGGCGGCTTCACGACAATAACCAAAATCCCACTTGTGGCAATATAGCAAGAGATTTGGGGTGGAGCAGTGGTTTGTGCACTGCGGGCCTCAATAGCTTGCCTCCTCACTGCTTGAAGTCGCGCGAAGCCCCTTTTGGACCCATTCATTTAACCTTAAATAATGCAAATTCAACCCCCGGTGAAGCTTAGAGAGCTGAATGGAGTTCAGATGAACTCGCAAACAAACACCTTGCGAAAGATTAAACGCAGAAGATCTATGGGTTTTATCTTCCACAAAGCTGATGGTCCACCCTAAATCGCATCTGCACAAACCATGGGCACCAGGTGCCTGATGCACAAATGGAAAATTAAAAACTCTCCAGTGTGAGACTGTGGTCATCCAGAACAGAGCATACAACGTATAACGACGCAATGCACGATGCAGATCCACAAATACGATGGAGACATCACGGCGATACACTCCGCTGCTCCTGACGCGGTTGTCTGGCCTGACCACCTGAATGTGAAATTGTAGTTGTTTCTCTGCATCTACATCCATCATCGTACGAAAGAAGAAGACCGCGGCACTATGAACCCCGTTCACCTGAGTGAATTTCCTGTCTGTGTGCTCACATGGATGATGAGTATTAACCTGAACACAGATCCTGAAGAGGCCCACTTCACCAACCCGCGCTGACAAGCACAGCGAAGTAGGATCAGACATCACCCCCACACGACTGACGGAATGTGGGCAGTCATGGATTGACAAAGGTGCTGAAAGTTAATAAAAGTTTCAAACCGCACAACGTACGTTTGCGAACTGGCGTGGAAGAATATGCAGTGCAGAACCGCGTCCTCTCAAAAAACTCAAAACGGTTTTGAAACACGACTCGGATCGACGACGCAAAAGCCTCGCCTTTAATGGTTCAAGTGGGGTTCAGCTAATTTTAAACATACGGGAGGGGGGGGGGGGCTGTTTTGCCAGGGACTCCAGTGTCCCAGTGCTGACCCTTCCTCTTCTCCCCTTCCCTGCTCCTGGCCAGTTCTCCGGGAGCGTCCCGTGCGAGCACGTCAACTTCCTCGGTTTATTTGTCTTCCATTGTCCGTGGCCCTTGGCCCGTCTGGACGCGCCGCTGTCGCTGTGTTTTTTTTCCGTGACGCTGCTCTTGTTACGCGCAGCAGGGCGGCCCGTCCAGGCCTTTGTATCTCGCTGTGAGCGCCGCGCTCGCTTTTTGTGAGCCAAGTACAAGTGTGTTAGCTCACAAAAAGCGAGCGCCGCGTTCGCAGCAAGTGTGTGTTTGGTCTGTTAATGTAAAGCGGGGTTTTTTTTTTCACCTGCAGAGGTGCATGGCCAGTCGTGGCTAATCTGTACGGGGCATTGGGGTGGGGTCGCAGCTGAAAATTCTCTCAATGTCTTATTTAGTTACGTATTTTAAAACCAACTATGCAAATCAAAAACCCAGTTGAAACCTTCAAAAGTAAAACAACACGTATAATAAGTGGTTAATTTTAGTTATTTTCGTAAGTACTTGATATTTCAAATCGATATGTATGAAAATAGATATTCAAAATATGGGGTGCTCGTGTTAATCCGCCCCAAAGAGATGCGTAACTTTGGCATATCACTGGCCGATTCAAACCAACGACGGGTGGCAGAAATTCATGGTGCCACCCATTGGAGACAATGAAGCAAACAATTTGGGGTTGTCACCACTCGACCAACGATTTTTTACATTCACCAGCTGTCATTGGAGAATGCTTGAAATTACACTGACGGACGGAAGAGGGGAACACACATGCGTTGGAGAACTTACCAAAGTTAGAGCCATCATTTTAATTGGTGAGAAAAGTGAGTGGGTTTGGCCAGGACAAATCGCATGTGTGTGTGTGTGCCTGTGCTTTCCATTTATGTAGGCATTTAACATGGTGAGGTGCACGCTTGGAATTGGACAGAAAGTGGGGGAAAAAAGACGTGGATTAGAGGTAATGTGAGTTGGAGACATCACAGTGACTGTTCAGAAAAGTAAGCGGGTTTGGGCAAGACACATTGTGAGTAGAATTCGTGCGTGTCCTTTCTGTTCAGAGTAGGTAACTCATTTGGAGAGGTGCATCCCTGATATGCACCGAAAGAGCAACAATGAACACGGAGTATAGAACATGTGTAGGTTAATCTTTATTTGAGGCTTTCGTGACTGCGGGAATCCATTCTCTTTGGTTATTTCTGTAAAGTCACGTAGGTATAAAATAAGATAAATCACGACGTTTCGGGCACAACACAGGCGTCCATCAGATGTCGTCAGATGTCATCAGATGACGGACGCTTGTGTTGCGCCCGAAACGTCGTGATTTATTTTATTTTATACCTACGTGACTTTACCGAAAGAACCAAAGAGTATGTGTAGGTTAGAGACGACATTGACTGGCAGACAAAAACTATTTGTGTTTTCGGAAAACTGAACTTGCTGAAGAAAAGCAACGTATGAATGTGCTTAAATTAGAAAGTATTTAATCGTTCGATGCTACCTCTAATGATATTTGAATTGTTAAGATGGATATTGATCAAGAATATCGAACAAAACTGGAAAGTGCACCGAGAACCATATAGAGTTGCAATCTTAGAGCAGCACCCGGAGACCAAAGTGCATTGTCCCTCTCCCCCACCTCCGATCAGTGCGGTTGGCTACGTATGGTGCGAAATAAAGTTCTACATACATTATGTTGACTTTTGAGAAAAGTGTGCTTCAAGGGATGATAACCAGTGGTCGAGGCTAATGACGGAGTGGTAGTCAAAGGGAGGAAACACACCCAAGGGACAAAACAGATCTGAGAGGACATCTGCAGAGATGGAGCAATGAAATCGACTCGCGTGCAGGAGCTGGATGGATGTTTGCGCCGTGAGAGACTGCGATGGCTTGGGGGGGAGACCTTCATCCAGTGGATTGATGATGGCTCAGGGTGATGACGAATGGGCCGGTGTGAACCCCCAATGCTGCCAATTGTTGCTACATTCATCAGTGTTAAATATATTTGATTGTTGAATCTGAATTCCAACGATCAATTCGTGGAATTGCTAGTGGTGGGTAAAGGCGGCGGTCGGTGAGTTATTAAACTCTATAATGTTTGTAATGATTAATCAATCAATATTGATTGCTCGTAAATCATTCGTCAAATCTTGCCTTTGATAATTTATTATTTAATCAGTTTGTAAATTGTAGGCTCGTAATACACGTCGGAAAACGGAGCAAACAACTGTTGAGATGATACCAACACAAGCGAGAATCAATGCGAGTGAGGTGGTAAAAACATAACCAAGAAATAACGTATATTCAGTCGAACCACGACTCGTGACAATTCATCAAATGGCTGTTAGCACGGTGAGGGGCGGTGGGGGGGATCATTACTGACTGGTGTTTATAGTTGTCTACTTTGTTGTACATACGTTTGCCTGTCCCCGCGGCTGATTTTACAGGATGTATTGGGCTGTACCGCCGACGAAAAGAGGATGTTGATTAATCGAGGGGAATGCACAACAAATAATTGATGCCAAACGTGGAAGACATTCGTTGGCTGTTCTCCGGCATGTCACTAAGGCGGACAGAACTTTGTCCAAAGCTAAAAACTGCCACGCCAATGCACACCATGTTCATAAATATGGTCACCTAAAATCTTACAGGATAAATAAAGCTGCTTCGTTATCAGTCGTCGTTCGTTAGCAGTAATGTAGAAACACAACAAGGTCACCACTTTCATAGCACTGTTATATAACATTAATAATGCGGGTCTAGTGGTTAGCACGCTGCCCTACAAACATGGTGACCTGAGATTGATTCCTGGTTTAAGGTTAATTTCAGTGGTGAGTGATATCTGACTCCACTTATGGCTGTCTCCCCTCGCCAACCAGCACTGACCGACACAACAGGCCTTCATCCAGCAGTGGATTTGGCAGTA